AACGGACGAGGGAGGAGGCTAGACCGCAGACAAGAGTCGACTTGACGCCAGGAGATGTTGCCATGTTGCCTTGCCTCGGACGAGAAAAAGAGGGGAACGGGTGAAGCTTGACGAGGTTGCGAGATAAAAGAATAGACGCTAGGAATTCTGAGAACCTACGTCGTATGGAACAAGAAACGCAAAAGAGACGGCAGCAACAGAAACAGACTGCAAAACTGCAAAACTGCAAACAGCAAAGCCTCACTCGTTTCATGAGCGAACAATACGGCAATGCTCCGTGCCCCGTGCTAGGCCAGTGCCAGCCCAGCGTCGTATCCAGATGGCGCCCCGATCAAGGCCCATATTTGGGAGGAAGAGAGTACCGAGAACCAGATTGGGCCAGCGCTTTGATCGTTTACTTCTGGATTTAGTGTTATCTGCCTCCTTTTTGTCCATGAACGCGATGGACACTATATTGTCGTCTTTTTCTTGTTCCTTTCCATTTCAACGAGAAACAGGAAAAGACCGGAACACTACCTGCTGGAATCAGACGATACGAGGCCGGTGGAGAGAGAGACGGCCGAAGGATCTGCGGTGATAAACCAGGTTGGCCGGATGTAGACAGCCCTGTACGTCAACAGAGTATCGGTCACGCAGCGGACGAAAAGCCATGGTTCTCGGTATTCGCCAACGCTGCACATGCTTTGCGTTTCCTGGTTTCCCTGATTTTCTCTGATTTTCTCTGATTTTCTTTGATTTTCGTGACGCCCGGAAACTCAATTTCAGCTCGCCTCTCGACTTCCACTGGCCAGCTACTATAATGTCTGTGCGGTTGGTAGTGAGGCTCATCTTAGGGGACAGCCAAGCAGCGCACCAAAAGCGGCATCGATTCGTCTATTTGGACACAACGACCATGGACGGAATCAAGAAATAAATTGCCAACTAGAAGTAAGAGGCCTATGAGGCACAGCAACGAATAGGACAAGTCCGCTTCCCATGCTGCAGAACCCGCGTTCGACAACAACAGCGTCCTCGTACGACATAGGTTGAATGGGAGAGAGGGAGAGCGGGTCTAATGCAGGTACAACGGTTACAAGGGGTAGATAAAAAAAAAAAAAAAAAAAAAAAAAAAAGAAAAAAAAAAAAGAAAAGCACAAACAACAGAAGCGTAAATCATTGGGCAGCACATTGGCTACGTCGAGTTGGTCTTTCACGTGCACGGTACTACGATTAGACTAACGACCTCAAATACTTAAATACACAAATTAGAATGACTGTAAAATCGACCAATTTGAAACTAAAAGAGTGTGAAAAAAAAAAAAAAAAAAAAAAAAAAAAAAAAAAAAACAAAAAGTGGCCTCGAGGCTAGGGGCAAAAAGATGAACCACTTTCGAAAAAGATGATCGGGCGAGATTGGACGAGATGATGGAATGCTGTCTGTCTAATCATCTCACTGAATAAAGACAAAGTGGTTGACTTGAGTTGACAAGTTCACGTAAATGACTTACACTTGTGCTCTGGCCAATGACAGCGCCGCATTGCGGTGGAGACACCGGTCCTCCAAGACCCTGCGCAAAACGTGCACCCAAACTTCTCTAACACGCCAAGGGGGCAGGTACAGGGGGTTGAGGGGCGAGGCGAGTGGGTGGACCTCCCAGGCCTCCTTCCTCGGGGCGTTGCCCACTGAGAGTGCAGAACCGCTGGAAATAGAGTTGACGGGAAGCCGGTGTGCTCCTTCTCCTTGCAGGACATGCCGTCCCCAGTCCCCAGTCTTGTGAGAGGCTGAAGGAGAGAAGGAGCGACCGGGCGATTGGGCTTCAGATTGGTCATGGGAGATATTGTCGAGGAAAGAGCTGCACGTCGAGTAGCCAGTGACGAGCAAGATTGCGCAGCGTCGCCTTGTCGCGGAAGCATTTAGTCTTTTGCGGTAATTGCACTGTATTCAGCAGTTCGCTCATATGACTACCTACTATGGTGTACTCCATGTGTATGCCGTATGCGTCTGCTCCACCAGCGAGGAAGGAGCCATCCAGAGCACTGCACACAAGAAGGGGAAAGGTGACGAGAAACGGCAAGTGCCAACGGGCACACACCTGCCGTCAAGACTCGTCCTAGCCCAGGGCAATCCACTCGAAACAAACTCTCCGGCATCGTTCTTTCTCATTGCGGCCAGTCACAAAATGTAAAACACATCCATCGGCGAACTTCTCCTCTGGCTGTTTTCCCTCTCCCAAACGCCCCCAGCCATCAACAGCCGAAGCCATGCACAACGTTTGTGTTGCGGGTACGGTGTGGGTCTTGCCTTTCCCTCGTTCTTTTCTTCTTCAGCGGGTCCTCGGGACTTGCCAAGTTGTGATGCAAGCGCCGGGGCTTCCGCCACCAGGAGGACCTCAAGGTTCTCGATATCTCAAAGATAGACAAATAGACAACCGGCAGCGCGAGGGATATACTGACCGGACGACCAAATGACCAACAAGACCAGGGCAAGTCGTGTGCGAAAACATGAGGCACCGGCGTCGACACGGACTAGACAGACGCGGTCTCCGAAGTGGATGCTCGCTCACATGCTAAGCCAATGCCGGCACTACCTGAATCGAACTACCTGTCGTCCTCCGAACACTACGGGAGAACCAACGCTCGCCAAAAAGCACTAACACATGATTAGGACCCTGTGATACCCAACAGACGTATCTCTTTTTTCCCCTTTCTCATCCTTCTTTTAGCCCTCTTTCGAACTTATGTTTATGGAGAGAGGGAGAAGCGAAGAGACGAGAGAACCGGAGGGTTCGTGATCAGCCGCGGTGCTTGACCCCATGGCGTGCTTCTGGTAGGCCCCGACATTGTTCTCGGTCGGCAGTTCATCGCATGAGCACTCGTTATCTCAGTCGGCACAGCCTTGTCGATCTCTCCGGAGGCGTCACGATACCGGCTAGACCACTTGGTAGACAGAAAGATAACGGTGCCCAGCTGGACAGAGGACATCCCTGACCGAGTCCAGGGCCCACGTGCTGTCCAACGCTCACCATCAACGACGATACCGCGCACGTGGACCTTGGTTCAGGACGCAAAGAGGCGGAAAGACGCGACAATATGCGACGAAGAGGCGATACTGGACCACAGGAGGCGATCCATCGGACAAGCCAGGCTCAACTCACGCGCACCTGTCTTTCGGGATGCAGAGGGCATCATACGACGTGGATGGATCTTGTCTCGTTCATCTGTCGACACATCGGAGCTGAAGTAGACAAACCAAAAACTAAAATGAGCGAAAAGGGGGAAACAAATCCGGGTAACGATGTCGGCATATGATTTGAGGCAAAACGATCACGCCGTCCAGTACTGATGGAGCTTGATGAGCTTGACGACCTAAACAATTGCACCATCTTTCTTCCTGTCGATTCCTTGTCTGTTTTGTCTGGTGCTTCTCGTATTGAAGACTCCTGGCTGTTTAGAAGAGTTGGGCGGAGTGTAAGTGCGGTCGTAGAGGTAACTCTCTTTTCACAGCTTATGTTTTACACGATCGTCTGAAACAACATTGTCAGTGCCATGGCGTCTTAAACCTTGTGTAGAAGTAAAGGCTGTGAAAAACGAGAGGTGGCAATGCTTCGACCTGTTCCCAAATATAGACTTTAAGGTTGTTTCAGGATCACCAAAACGGCAAAGTCCACGGAAATACGTACAAAACCAGAAGCAAAGCAAAGATCGATTCCTCTTCCGCGGCAGACAAGAATAGAAACAGAGAAAAAGAGGAGCCCGCCGAAGAACATGATTAAATAAAAATACGTGCAAACCCACCACATTGGACACGGAGCGGGACTCGACGTCTCAGAATGAAGCGGGGGCACAAAATGTTCACGATGGAACAAGGCTGGCACGCAGTGCTGCCAATGCAACCTGCCCCGTGCCCTCTGTCGCGACACACAACCGAAAAAGGAGTCGTGATGGCATTCCTGTAACGCAATGTCGGCCTCCTTTAATGTCAACGATTTACCTCGATCGATTTCCGATGCTTAAATTTTACGACATCTCTTATGTAGACTTCACTTCTCCCGAGTCTTTTGATAGATTCTCCCACGATTACCTCCGTACCCTTGCCGCTGGATCTCATGTTGCTGACGATGCAATTATATAACTGTAAGTACTGACCTGAAGCTGCTTTGCACGCTCGTTAAAACCGGCCAAGCCTCCGCTCTGATAGGTTCCCACCAGCCGTACGGAAGCACAACGAAAACGACGTGCAGAAACACGAGACGCTTGCCATGAGGGGTGAAAACAATGCAATTTCGTGGTGTGCGGTTTATCGGCCGCATCGAGAAAATGAACAGAATGGGCAAAGAGTGTACGGAGTATGCCGTACAATGTATTCAATTGTAACAATTGTACCAGTTGCTCATCGAAGAAGCCCGAAGAAACGAGCCAACAAATGCCAAATAAGTTACATATACCCCCGTACCAGACCCAAAAACGAGTGAGAGAACGAGGCGGCAAGCTATCTACGCCTCGTGCCTCAAAGCATGAAGACGTTGTTCATCAATGCGTCGGTCGTCTGGGCGAGGGGATGTCTTCGATACAAGAGCGAAAGAAGAAGCAGAAGACAAAATAAAGTCGATGCCTAAACGAGCAGTAGGGGTGAAACCAGAAAAGTGCGTCAAAAGGCAACAGAATGAGCCGAGCGAGAGACACAAGGGGCTGTCGAAGAGAAAAGCACAGCCACGAAATGCCCGTGTCTCCTGTGACATGTCGTGACATGTCGTGGCATTGTCGTGGCATTGTCGAGGCATGCTTGTCACAGACTCCGAAAGTAAACGAAAGCAGGGTGGGATGTGTAGAGGCGCCGAAAACTCCCTGTGCTGTATGCCCAAAAGTGAATAAAACAACGTGCGCGACTCTGTAAAGTGAAGGGGAGAGGAGGAAGAAAGAAGCCGTCAAGAGCGAGGCATGGGAGGTGCGTCGTGGTTGCAGCGGTCTGTGCAATATGCACGCTGGCTGGCCAGGACATGGCCCTGCGCTCTGCCGCTGCTTCAGTTCACCTGGCACAGCAGCTCTGCCTCCAGAATGTACTTGCCCTCCTTGTACTTCTCCGACGCCTCGTACGCCTTGTCGTACTTCCATCCGACCGTGTCGCCGCAGCCGCGGCACACAATGTCGCGCACAACGTGCCGGCCCGTCGTCATGTTGCGCTCGGCCGCGTTGCCCGCGTCGACGTTGACCACCGAGTTGAAGAGGTATGCCTTGCCATGTTGACCCCGGAAGTTCTGCCAGACGCCCCAGAGGTCAGTTTACGAATTTAGTACAATGGGGCGGTGGGGAGGTGGACGGTCATGCACGCACTCTGCTAATAATGTCATCGTGGTTGGCCAGGTGCGCCTTGCAGACCTTGCAGCCGTAGATGCGCGTGCTGTTGAGGTATGTATTGTACGTGAGACCCATGGTGTCGGTTGTCGGTTGTCGGTTGTCGGTTTGCGTGCGAGGGGAGACTGGGACGGGAGTAGCGTGTCGGAACCGGCTAGACGTCGTGATCGTGATGTCTAGGCAGAAGCAGAAAAGGGAGGCAATGAAGCAAACGCAAGGAGGAGCTTGTTCCCAGAAAGATTGCCGGCACAAGAGGACGGCTGGATCGTTACGAGAAAGTTTGTATTTGCGAGTGCTTCTGTCAGCGACGTTTCGCTTTCTTCGTCGTCGTCGTCGTCTTCGTCGTCGTCGTCGTCGATGAGTTGTCTTATCGGTCGTCTCTTATCCGTATCTCTCCGGGACGCTCTATCGTCGGTGGGGCGAGATTAAGGCTGGCTTGCGAGATCAACGACAAGGGGGTGCAAGTGGTCGGGAAGCCAACAGGGCTGGAAATGGGAAATGTCGATGTGTTGAGAAGCCGAAAGAAATGGACGAGGAAAAGAAGGATGAAAGAAGGTAAAGGAGGAACGAGGGGGCGATGTCTTACCAAAGGCGTAAGATACATGAGGCGGGGAAACAGTGGCCGATTGGAGGCGCACCACAGCGCACAGCGCATGACCAGGTGACGACACATCACACGGCACGGATACGACGGGCTGGCGGTGTTGGCGGGGTTGGCGCTAGGCTCCCAGTAACACGGCGCCCTGCCCAAGTCCGCTAAATTCCCCAATCGGGTACCAGCCGTCCAGTTTCCGTACTGCAGGATTAGGCAAGCTTTCGGTCACTACCATAACGCCGCCTCAGAACAGCATTACACATAGCCAAAAGGCGAGGGAGAGCTAGCAGTCATGCAAACATTACACATGGCACGGAGGATGCATCACTGAGAGCCGCTGTGGTCAGCGACTATTGCATAATTTTTATCATAGTTTTTATTTGTTGATTTGTGACCGTTCTAACCGGGCGACCTCAGAGGCTTCTTTTTATCATCAGCGGCAACGAGACAAGGGAATGAAAAATGGTAGAAAAAAATGTACATAGAAAAAAGACAGTGACGTAAACGGCATCACTTGAAAAGACATGAGACCAGATGAAAAACAAAGCGCGAGATCTTCGCCTGCAGTAGCGACTGTGCGCGCGGACGCCGCATCTATGCCGGAAATAAAACCCAATACCCAGATGTGTAATTACAAACCGAACCAGACACCAGAAAAGTTGGCAGCCAGGCTGCCGTTGTTGTGCGGGTGTGCCGTCTAGAGGCCGCTTGCGCGCCTACCACGAAAAGGCCTCCTCGACAAACTCAATCGAGCCCTGGTACTGCCGCTGGCGGACCGCACGCCGCACCTCGTCGCTCAGCGCACCGGGGCCGCACACCGAGACGCCGAGCGTGCCCACCTGGTTCTCCATCTCGATGCCCAGCAGCGTGTCGATGTTGGGCCGGCCCGGGAACATCTGCACCGTCGCACTCGGCGAGTGGATCTCCTTGGTCGACCGGGGCCGGCTGACAAAGAGCATGATGCGCAGCACGTCGCGCCGCTTGTCCATGGCCAGGATCTCCGTCATCCACGGCCGGATCCACTCCAGGTGCTCGGGGCTCTGAATGATCCACACCAGCACAATCTTGCGGACCGCAACCGTGCCATTGGCATAGCCGACCACCAGATCGCGCACGTGGGGCACGGCCTGCGTCACGCCCACGCCGCCGGCGAACAGCATCACCGTGCCGTACGAGTGCATCTGGTGCAGGCCGCCGTAGGGGCCCTCGACGAGGCAGTTTGTGGCGTACCGGCCATCTGGGCTTGCCGTCGCCTTCTTGTACAGCTTGGCCGTCATGCCCGTGCGCCCGCGGATGATAAACGACATGCTCGTCTTGCGCATCGCAAGCACCTCCTGCCGGTTCATAGCCAGCTTCTCTGTGTCCAGCGACTCGGCCTCCTCGCTCCAAGCGACGGAAAACGGGTGCGACTGCCAGAGACCGACGCTCGGGAAGTACAGGTACGCGTGCTGGCCCGGCTTGAAGTCCCAGGTCCGCGCCATTGTGACTGTGACGCGGCACGCGTTGCCGGGGAGCGCCTCGACGAGCGTCTTGGTGCCGCCTTGCCCAACGTTGTGGTACACGATGCGGAGGATACGGGCGAGTCGGTCGATGGCCCAGATGGCAACAACGCCGTACAGGTAGACGATCTGGGGTAGGTCCTTAAGCTTCAGGTGGTACCAGACGCCCATAACTGCGACGGCAGCAACAAGGATGTGCACAATCTTGAACGTCTCGTAAAATGCGTGGCGGAGCGGGCTCATCGCCTGAACGCCCAAGAATAGGAAGGACACCGTCGCAATGAAGCCAAACATCATGTAGCGGACCGTGAGGGCCGTGTGAAAGGCGGCGCCCCAGTCCTGGGCCATGGCCTTCGGAATAAGGTAGGCAAGCGTATGCATCAGAGCCTCGAGAATGGCAATCCGGCCGAACCAGCGGTGGAGAAGGTTGAACGTGTCAAACGAAATGCCCAGCAGAGGGATCAGCGGGTTGTTGCGGCCGGCCAGGAGGAACAGGGGAACCATATTCACCACGGCCAGGACACCGCTACGGTTGCGCAGCTGGGCAGCCGCCGTGGCGAAGTTGCTGTGCAGCTGGATATCGACGAGGCAGAAGGCAACGTTCGTGCAGAAGTAGGCGACGAGGAAGGCCAGCTGCAGCCGGGTGGGTAGGGTGCCAATGTTGACAGCGGAGCTCAACTGGATCTCACGGTTGTGGCGTTTGTGGAAGACGGGGGCGTAGACCAGGTTGCGCTTGAGCCACGACGTCTTGGCATGGGGACGGGCGTAGTACCGCTGCGTCTCGTTCTGGAGCGAGGTGACGGTACGGACATGGCGGAGCAAGGCGTAGGTGGCACGGTAGACGAACATGGCAGCGGCGACCGAACCAACGATGAGAAGGAGGTACTTGGCGAGCAGCCTGTTCTCCAGGCCCGGGTTAAACGCAGGCGAGGCAGCCAACGTGGTCGCATTTTGGGCAGTAGCAGCTCCGGTCGAGTTTGAGGCGGTAGCGGTGCCGTTCATCGCGGCCGCGTTGTTCAAGGCATCGGGCCCCGTGGCGTTTTGACTGGATTCAGACATTGTCGTCCGTGTCTACCCGGTGTCGGGGTAAGGGGATGTGAAAAAAGGGCGTGAGGCCGGAAACCAGCCGGCAAAATGCTGGGAAGGACACGACAAGGAGAATGGTGGTTCTCCAAGTCTAGGTGACAGATATCAATGTCGATGCGGATGTTGGTGCGGATGTCGATGTCGTCGTCGATGCCGTTGTCAATGTTGTTGTCGATGTCGGTGACACCTTATTTTCCTGTATGAAGAGAAAGTGGGTTTGCGCGCGCCCAATGCTTTACAGATCGACCAGCGAGAGTGGTAGCAAAGAACAGGTGAAACGTTGACAGAGGATGTGTGTAGAGATGGTGATTGATGGGTTCGGAGCAGGTCTTGGCACGGTTTTATACCGCTGGGTCGTGCCGGCTTTGTTACCTAGTTGTCAATGCAACCTGTTCGCGTGTGTTTGTCGGCCTCGTCCAGTCCAGCCGACCTTCACGTTCCGAAGGAGACGAAAGATTACTGAAAATGTGACAAAGGCTTTGTCATATATGTCGTTGTCGCTTGGACCGTGAACAAAAGACTGGTTGTGTATGTTCGCATAAATGTAAGACGGTCGAATGAACAACACTTGATCGTGAAAGAATGGTCGAAATGGTCGGAAAAGGATGCGAAAGTGGGAAATAAACGAAAATAAGGAAACCAGAGAAGATGTAGAGAGAACCGGCTCGTTTGGCTTCCGTAGAATTGGATGTTAAGGGAAACGGTCTCGCCTGGCTGAGCAGTCTGGGACAGATTGGCGTTCTGATGCGTCGATATTGGCCGTGGATGGCTGGTTGGTTGACTGCCACAGTTTGCAAACGGGATCGCGAGACGTAATACGGCGATGCAAATGAAATGGAATAATGGAAAAAAAGAGGGGAGTCAAGAAGAGAAGAAAAGTGAAGGTATGCAACGGCTCCGTGAAAGACAATAACACGCAGTGTTAAAGGAAGGAAGAATGGAGGTTGGAAAAGAAAAGGGAGGTAGGAAGGGAAATGTCAAATTATGGCAAACAGAAGGAGCGGCAGACGCCAGATCGAGATAGATTGTCGAAGGTGCCTTCCTTCTTAATAGATCTGCTCTGGGCCAACCTTCGCAGGGAAAGAGCGGGTTGGAGAAGGAAGGAAGGACCTGCAAAAAGGGGGTGTGCCTTCCCCTTTTGGTAGTTTCTCACATTCCTGACGATACTCGCTCTCTTTCCACACCCCCCTCCCCCGGACTGCCTATGGGCACCAAATGTGCAGGTACGTCAACCCTGGTGAAAACCCACCTAGGTTTGCCAGTCGTGGCTTCTGATCTGAGCAAAAAGTGACATTCGGACCCGGGCAAACACAGAACATAAACTGGGGAGGCTCAGGGAAGGCGCGATCTTGTGTTTCTCCGTTTCGAGTGCTTTGTTTCGCTGGACGAATTTCTCCCCTGTCCGCCTCCTCTGTGCGAAATAAATTGGCGCTGCAGCACCACGAAAAGCAAATACGAGAACGCAGGAAAACCGCAATGCCGATTGAACCACTGCCGCGTGTGATACAAGCAAGCCATGGTTACAAGGACGTACGGGACACTCTCGAAATGAAGTGCACCACTTTGTTCGAGATAGAGTTTCTGTTGCGGCACTCACCCGCAAATTAACTGGGAACATCAAGCGCTTTGCCCATATTGCCGTGCTCGATCTAGGATTCTAGACCTGTTGGAAGAAACAGACGTCGATGGTCAGCTGCTGAGGCTTCCGAGTGTTGCTTAGCATTTGTCCAATCTCAAGATCTCTATGGCATACTAACAGCATTTGATAGATTGCAGGCCTCACATTCTTCCTTCGCCCGGCTTGTTGGTGCTCGGCAGTGCGACACACGACTTTGTTTGTTGGCGGCGGCGTCATTGTTTCATTGCCCTGCTTAGATCCCATTGTTCGCAAGCCCGGTCGTTCACCAGCCTGTTCAGCGGCATTGTGGATGGTTCTGTTTTTGGTCTTTGTGCATTGTCTGCCTCTTTGGCTTTAAGGTTTTTCGACCTTTGCCTATGTATCGGGCTGCACTTCGCTTTTCTCGCGCATCTCAGCCTCGTTTGCCATCGTCACGCCTGTCGGGCCTATGTTTGTCTTTGCAGTGTCAAGGTCGTATTTTGTCGGCGATCTAGGCAGTGGTTCTCGGTTCGGTGGTTTTCTGCAGGCCGCTTGTCGCTCCTGTGGCTGTTTTTTTTCTTCCACTGCGGTCTTACTTTCTCTCGAGGAAGCTGTCTGTGTTCTTCTCGGCGATCTGCCGCAGGGGGGTTCCACTCTCGACGCAGACCCAGCACCAACCACCCCCTGGCTTGGACTTGGAGCCGACCTTGTCTCTTATTATCGAACCAGAATGCTAATTCTCTGATCAGACTCCCTCTATCGTCCTTTACCGATCTCGACAACTTGCACACACAGTGCTTCGAAGGACCTCAGTGGGAGTGCAAGTACCGAAACACTCTTTCCTTTTTAACCTGTGCCCCTTGTCAGAGCTGCCAGAAGGCACTGAGACGCGTCTCCTGAAAGCAACGGCACATACACCTCAGCGGTGACATCCATGTGACTACAAATTTTCGATTCCCGTACTCAACAGACGATCCCTCCAGACAAGAAAAGCAACATGGACAAACAAACAGGACATCAATATTGAGAGGCTCTGAGGCTATGAGGCAAAATGCAGGCGTCAGGCCTTGAAACGCGCTAGTCCTAGTCCAGGCACAAGTCAGGTGGAGGCCAAGATGCCTGGTGCATTCTCCGCACGCTGAAAGTCGGCTGGTGTAACTTCTGCGATCATGAATGCCAGAAAGCGGTTGGGCGCTGTGGCTGAAGAAGACCAAAAGAAAGGGGTTTTGTTTGCATTCTCTGGGCTTCTGGCCGTTCACTGTGTTGCTAACGCTGACAGGATCCACGGCTAACATCCAGCCGTCGAGCGGCGCGCATTCTCCTGGGCGTGGTGTTAGACGGCCGCTCCATTGGAATGATTGGCTGACAGCGGCCTCCTAGGTGAAACAAAGAGAAACAGCCGAAGGCGACGGGCGAATCAGAGGCCTGTCCCTTGCATTTTGCCAAGGGAACCGCCGGACCATGCCCTGTTCTTGACCTGGTAGCTTTCTCGTTTGCAGCTGTCCCACAGGCCAACAAGGCGGCCTATTCACCGTCTCCCTTTCAGTGCATACGACGATATGGCTCCCTAGCAGAAAAAGACGGGTTGTTTTCTACGAAGAAAGGAAAAGGGGCCACATCCAATGATACTTTGAGCGGTGGGTTGATCGCCACATTTGCACGATTGACTAGGTTTCTCCCTGTGTCCTGCACCTCAATTCTCAACCGAGTCTATTCCTCAACCCTTGCCGCCGACTCCCATTGGGTCATTCTCCTCCTGTGTTTGTCCATATGCCCCAAAAGACAAAAAAAAATCATATACGGAGTACGACTTCCACCGTGAGTAACCTTTCCTGTCGACAGGCTAGACGAGACGGCGTCGCGAAAAGCCTTCACAAGACCCCAGCAAGTACGATCCCAGGGTGTACAAAAGCCGAATGGAATCACGACAGAAAATTAAGGGTCCGGGCGTCAAATTTCTGGAGGAAACTCAAGGTTGAAGTACTGAACAAGATAAGAGCCCGAAAAAAAAAGAAAAAAAAAGCGAAGACAACAAGGGAATGTCAAACGACACTCGGGGATCGCAAGCGCGGCGTCGTTCTTGCATGCCCGAACAACAATACCTCTAGCAATAGGAGTTTTATCGCCGGTGCGCTTCTGCTTCCTTTACCAAACCAATCCTCGGCCTTGTTTGCCTCTACTCTCAAACATACCTCTCCCCGTTACAAATGCTTTACAAACCGACCAGATCCCCCGTCAAAGAGGGAGATCATGCTAGCAAAGTGAACCAGGCAACTCCGGCTGAATTGGCGGGTCGACGAGCAGGATAAAAGGCTATGAAAGAGCGGCAAGAGACAGGGATGCCCCGACCACTGGTCAAGGAAATAGGACGATAAACGTCGTCTGGTCTGCGGACCACTTTGTTCGACAACGCATGAAGTTGCAAAATATGCCAAGCGGCAGGGATCGCAGCGGATCGAATACAATTGCGTGCGTAAGCCACGCATGTCATGTTTGAAATGTGTTGCTGCTGGGCCTCACTGTTGCACTGTTGCACTGTTGCGGCTGAGAGGTGCTTCAGTACCATGATACCATGTTCTAGAAAAACAATCACAATCATGCCCTGTGATCAACAGGATCCCTTTCAGCATTTCTGCAAACTACAGAACACCACCCTCGGCACTTGCATATCTGGAAAAGAGGGCCGAGCAAACGGCGCCCATGCAATGGCAGGACGTGCGTCGTGACTCTGCGTTGGTGAGGTGACATAGCTGAAACCATGAAATTTAGAAAACAGCAGACGACAGCAGACGACAGAAACATCCACGCGTCCAGCCAAAATACAAACAAAACAGCAGACGCATGGCGAAACGACTAGAAAACTAAACCAAAAACTAATGACGACGACGACGACGACAACGACTGTGGAAAGCAGGAATGCCAAGCCCTACACGTTTTATAACCGCCGTGGGAAAGGGGAGTTTGGTGTTTACGAATGCTGAGAGAAATATACAGGTATCAAGAGACAAAACTCGTTTTGAAAACTGCAAATGCAAACCTTAATGCAAAACGATTGCGACAGAAGAGGAGAGAATACGGAAAAAGAGATTCGCGTGTCGTTTGCTTATTCCCGTTTCGTCCCCAAGTCGGACAGTGGACGAAAGACACAAATCACTTCTCGCAACCGACGCTGCTTTTCGTGGCCGACATTATCGGGACGTGTGTCTCGTCCATCCTCCGCGGCTCCTTGAGTCTGGCAGTGATGAAGGACACAGCATCACTTCTCTGGTGAGTGGTTTGACCATCTAGGCGTCGTTGCTTCATTGCATATTAGGTGCTCACATGCAGCCACAGCACTTTTCTTTTTCGGATTTCCCTCAAGAAAAGCCTTGTTGTT